CTCAAAGTTTGCTCTCGGATGCGAATATAAACTGTCTGCAAGACTCTTGAGTATGAATATAAATTATTCAACTTCCAAAATAACTCAAATTATGCTCTCAGACATAAGCCTAAACTATCTACAAAGCCCCAAATCATTAGTACAAATCACTTCATAAACTGCATTATGACTTGATCCCTCTAAGGGTACGTAGGCAACCTAAAAAGGTGCAATCACAAAATAAATTAACTCTCTGCTCCTAGCCCGCAAGAGTGTAAAGTTACAAAAACAACCATAACTTGGGGGGCATTTGTTGGAATATAATTTTTTTGCCCATCATGCTGGGACCTAGTGTAGGGGCCCACTAATTCTTCAGCCCAAGAAAGAGGTACTCCACTAGCCCATCAATAAATGAATGGGATTCCTAAATCGGCATATTACATTAGATGAAATCCCAACAAAAATAATTAACAAATTAGTCAGTCTAGTGGGGCCCAATTGATTGGCAATTACACTTAAATGAGGTTTCATAGAAATGCAAGAGTAGCTTAATCGGATTGATGAAATCTTTGGGGTCAACTCTTGCCAAGTGGCCTATTTAGCAAGCCTCACCAATCAATCTTGATTGGATTAAACCCAAAATCAGTGGAGAGAATCCTATTTAAGAAAAGGAAATCACACAAAAAGGCTTAAATGATCCACAAAAAAAGGAAAATTAATGGTTGGTCAATGAGCTAAATGATGCATGGGCCCACCCCTTTGCCAAATGGCATATTAAATCCAATCTATGAATTTAATTACATTTAAAAGGGGATCAAAGATTGACCACCAAATTGTCAATCTAGTGGGCCCATATTAATTACAATAGTTGGCCAAATTGAAATTTGAATTCAAATTCTTAGGCCAATTCATTTAAAGGGAGGCATTATAAATAGATAAAGGTATAATAGCAAAGCCCTCTTGGAAGCTCTAGCCCTCCATCGGTCTTTCTCCCATTCGGCTTCCCCCTTTCAATCACTGGTTTCGTCTTCGACCACTTTCATTGCTTTTGAAAAGGAAGGAGAGGAAACAGGATGCACTAAGATCAAGGAATGAAGAAGAAAGACTCCAATTCTTCAACTGCCGAATCATCGAAGTTGCTACAACTTCGTACCGTATCAAATGGGAAAATTTTGATTTTCAAATTCCTGTGATCTAAAAGACTTCTGTCAATTCTACAGGCGAGGATATTGCTTTCAAATGTAAACGTTTTAATTATTGATTAAGCGTGAGTAAATTTTCGCTCATACAGGGTTGGGCGTTATTTGCTTCTCATAATTGCAAGTTCTAGTTGCGGTTCGAATTTTGTCCAAGACAAGAGAATTAGAGGGTTTTCTTTGCCAAAAAAAAAAGAGTTTGTATCCCACTTAAATTTCTGCAAAAAAAAAAAATTAAATTTCTTTGGATTTATCCACATTAATTTTTGTGCTCCAAATTTAGCACGAAATTTGTGTTTACAAAGCCATATTGTGTTGGTCAAGGACTTCTTGAATTTCATCACCCTTAATTGCATAGGACATTCTCTCTCCTCATGAAGGGCGGTACATTCTATATCGTGCACTTACTCACACGCCCCCATGCACGAATCACCATAGCTAATAAGGGTGTCAATGGACCGGTTTTGGAACAGACCCCGTCCGGTCCAAAATCAATTTGGACGGATTGGATGGACCAAAAAGACATAGTGGATTGGACCAATCTGGTCCTAAATATTTATTAGATTGGACTGGACCTGGTCCATCCGTAATAAATTTATATTGGATTTGATTGGATTAAGTCAATATCTGATCCATTGATATAAGATAAGAATATAGATGTTAATGGACCAGGTTTGGGTTGAAACCAATCTAAATTAAAATGAATTTGAACAAATTGAAAGGTCCAAATTAACATTGAATTGGACCGGTCCAAAATAGTCCAAATTATTCATTGGGTTTGATTTGACTTGGTCCATTTGTAATGAACTCACATTGGACAAGATCGGATTGGACCAAATCCAGTCCACTCGACACCCCTAGTAGCTAATGCATACATGCTTAGAACCCTTAATTAGGGTATAAGTAATTGTACATTTAAACTACAACTCATAGACAAGGCATCCATGATACCTCAAGTCTAAGGATCTTGTTCTTTAACAAACACCCACACATTTGTTTTAGTCTCTCCATACAAATGATTTGAGATTTATCAACCCCATTAAGGCAAGCAAACATGTGCTAACCTATTTGGATCATCAAAGTCCTCTTGGTGATCCTTCAACTAGGAATTGTTTAAAAATTATGTACCAAAAAGAGTATATCTCAAATTCTTAACATGTTTAAAAATATACATTCTTGACATAGATTCTAAAGACTATTTATGTAGATAAAAGAGAAGACATGAATGATATTAATAAAACACGAATACTCTACTTCTAATGAATTTCACATGATTAGGTTTAAGTTTAGGGCACCTAATTAACTAGGGGTGCAAGTTGGGCGGGTTAGGCCGGATTTATGGTCAATCCAAGCCCAGCCCTAAAATTTGGGCTTAAGGCCCGAGCCCGAGGTCAGGTCTGATTTTTCCAATCCGAGTCCAACCCACCCTATAATTTGATGCATTCGAATTGAGCTCAGGCTCGGGGCGGGCTCGGATTGGTCAATGAACCCACTCTAAAATTATACATATATAAATGTATTTATACAAATATATATACATGTATTTATGTATGTATGTATGTAAATATGTATGCAAAATATCTATACAAAAATTATATATGCAAATATGTATGTATATATATGTAAATATGTATGCAAATTTTACATATATACACATATATGTATAAATGTATACAATTGGATCGGGTTTAGGCTACCTAAGGGCTAGACCCGAGTCCAGCCCGAAAAATAAAAAAACCCGACTTCTTGGACCCAAGGACCAAAAATCCAAGCCCAACCCATGTAAAATTCCGAATTGGAACGATTCAGGCTTGGACTGAGCCCACCCAAATTGCACCCCTATAATTAACAAAAGCTACCCAAATTATTGTGGGACTGAAATGCTCCTCTCAATGTATAAAACCCAAAGGTAACTCTAATCTTGAAAATCCAATTAATGGTTCATTCGTTTTTTAGACTAAAAGGGGATTCATATTCTTTTTTTAGATTAATGTGGAATCGATGGAATTTTTTTCTAGTAATACCCATTTTTTACCCACCTGCGAAAGTTGTCAATAATTAAATGAAACAAAATTACCTTTTAATATCATTATCTTATTTACCTAAAAAATAAAATAACATGAATAAATACAATTACACTTAAATAAATAACTTCCCAAAAAACCAACGGGCCTAAAAGCATTAACATCGGATAACTCTAATCTTGAAAATCCTAAAAAAATGATTGAGTAGGATTCGTTTGGACCGGGTCCCTATTTTTCATTAGAGGCAAACTATAGGGCCCACTTATCTATAAAGGCCACGTGTCTCCAAACCCATTATCATGATAATATTTTGTTTGGTTCATGAACATTTGCCACCCAACTACCAGGGCAGATATTGTTGGGAAAAGCTGTTAGATCGGTGTGGGCACAGGTTTGCCCTGATGGAAGCCGATCTCGGTTGTTGGATTGTGCTTTACACGTATGCTCACAACTGCACCTTCCAAATATTAACGTTGGATTAGAATATTTCATCAAAGCCAACAAATTCTCCCTTGATCCAATGATTTCAGGTGGGCCCTGATAAAATACGTTATCCTCCTCATCCTCTGGTGGGCCCCATCAAAACCCCTTTCATTGGACGGGCTAAAGTGGGAAGTACCATGTTCCGCTGTAGACCCTGATAATGGTCCCTTCTCAGACATTGATTTTGACACATCAGAAGTTATAAGGACGATACTCTGCCACGTGTCTTTCCAACAGAAGTCTACCCACCGACTTTCCATTTGGAATCTTTTGTGGGATCCATCAATAATACAAGTTATATTCTGAAAACCGTGAAATACAATACTAACCGGTGTAATGTCTAGATTAGATTTCGGAAAAGTATCTCCAAATTGCTCAACCCTCACCGTTAGATGCGAATCTACTGGTAGCAAATATGATGTATTCAATTTTCTCTGTATTTTGTCACATTTCATCATTTCTGATACTAAGATACGGCAACCGAGGGGAGATGGCGACCACGTGGATTTGGATTGTAGTATGCATGCAATTGACAGTTAATAATGCAAAGCACGTGCCACGTCATCACTTATCTTCTAGAGGAAATCAAATAGTCACGTGCAAATTTCTGCCACAAGTGGATATCTGCGTGAAGACCGATTCGGACACGTGGCTAACCACAAAAAAACGTGGATGTCGCATGAAGACACGACACATAACTGTTAGTTGTCTAAAGTACCCTTGGGCTCACCTTTCCGGAACCCCAGGGTATTTTCAGCATCCTGCGCGCGCACACTGTTTTTCCTTTAACCATCAACCAACTAAACCCTGTGGGTCCCACCAGGTATTCGGTTCCCGGACACACCAACCGCCAGATCCGCTGACCTTGTCTTCTCCCTCCGGAGTCCCGTCTTTTTCTCCCTTACGTCGTCAGACCGACCCGGGACCCACAACGCAAATGATCTTATTGAGCACCACGTGTACGAGGGGATGACGACTCCGCTTTTACTGGACCCGATCGGACCGGCAACATTCTGTAGTACTACCCTCGTACAGAACTCCTCCTTGTCTGATGCTGCCAAACCTAACCCGAACAGGGGTAGTTTCGGTCAATGAAAGATGTAATTTTACATTAATGCCCCCATCGTACTGATCCCACCCAGGCTCCGGCGTTGAATTGGTGGGGCCACACAACACGTTGCGACTTGCGGGGAATAAAATCTTGGTAGGCTGCGAGGGGCAATTTGGTAATATTACGAACCGGTCTCAAAACCAGGGACGGGTCAAGAAAATATTGGGGGCGGGAGGGAAAACAGCTTCGAAAAAATTTTCAACGGGAGAGTGGCCGAGTGGGACGGCCTTCCTCGCTGGCCTCTTTGAGATAATTCTCTCTCTCTCTCTCTTTCTCGGACAAGCTCATGGCCCCTGGTTTTCTTCTCCAGCTCTGGTTATATAATCTAAAGTCTCCGTACATTTTTATCATTTGGACAGCAAATCCCAACTCCTCTGGATCATTTATCTATAGCTTCTGGATTATTTATCTACAGCTTCTGGATCAGAAGAATACAAGAGGAGGAAGGTTCTTCAGCCGCATAGAATCTGAAGGAAATCGGAGAATTTGGTTCGTGCGTCTTGGATGAAGGATAGAGAATAGTAAAGGGGTTGTGGGTTTTGGAATTCGGGGTGTTTGGTGTGTGGGTTTGTGGGTGTTTTTGGAGAGGAAGTGGTGGGATAGGGATAGTACGTTCTGGTTTGATGATGACAATTGAGGCAGGGTTCGTCGAGAATAAGAGGGACAAGGTTGGGCGTCCGAATAATAAGATGATTAGGAAGAAGAAGAAATGCATGAGACCCAAGCGTCGTCGCGTGCTGCAGAAGCTGTTCTTGTCGTGCCGGGAGGTGTTCAAGGGTCCTGGAACCGTGCCTCTGCCTCGAGATGTGCAGAAGCTGTGCCACATTCTCAGTAAGTCTTGCCAATTCGCTCCTTATTCGTTGGAGTCATGATTTTGTTTTTTTTCTTTTCGACTTTTGGTCTTGGTTTTGGGTGTTTAGCTCGGAAACGTTTGTAGAATTGCCTGGCCAAACAAAGATTTCTCTTGTTTGTGTTGTTTGATTGTATGTGATGGGATCGGGAAGTTTTGTCTGAGATGCTTGGCTCTCAGATCAGAGCTCAATAGCAGAGGTTGAGCACGCTGGATTGTCTGACGAATACATTATAGCAGAAAAGCACGTATACATTTATTAGGATAGATGAATTGCCCGTTTCTGGATATACTTTCTGTTCAAAATTGCGTTCAAGCGTGTCTTTCTAACCAAACTGAACTTATCTCGCTGATTCATAAATGTCTTGAAATGCTAAGCCAAACTTCAGTACTTCATCATGGTGCAGTAGGTTGGAATTGGATTGGGTCTATCTTTTATTTGTAGAAGTATCAGTTTTCTTTTCTTTCCTCTTTTTCCTTTACTGAGAACAGGAAATTAGTGCAACTTGTTTGTGTTCTTTCTGAATCCCGCTTGCAGAAAGGAAGAAGGGAAAAAAATCTAGTAAGGGGATTTTTAATATATATATATATATAAGGAAAGACAGAGAACCCATTATCTGCAGTGGACATATTCATTAATATATTCATCCTGTCATCTCTCACTTTCCTTTTTTACAGCGTCCAGATACATTTGTGATGCAGTCATCTGTAAAAAGAATCTAGAAGTGTTTTAAATGCTATTGTGGAATGACAAATGAACCTGTCTTTGTAATGAATGTCTGCAATTTCTTTTCCTAACAAAGCGAGGTTATAAATTGCTGGCTATTTCTTCTTCTTTTCCAACTTACTAATTAAGAAAATTAGTAATGATGGGCGTTTGCAGTTTCCTTTTCATCTCTCCCTTTCCTTGCACAGCGTCCAGATACACTTGTGATGTAGTGGTCTGTAAAAGGAATCTAGAAGTGTTTTAAATGCTATTGTAGAATGACAAATGAACCCTTCTTTGTAATGAATGTCTGCAAATTCTTTTTCCTAACAAAGTGGGGTTATAAATTGCTGATTGTTTCTTCTTCTTTTCCAACTTACTAATTCAGGAATGTAGTAATAATGGACATTCGCAATTTCCTTTTCACCTATTAGTTAGAATTAGGAATTGCTTGAATTCTCATTCTTTGACTTAAGAACTTATCATAGTTGTAGAGCTGAAAACTACATCAAAAGTTCCTTGTTGGCCATCCTTATGTGGTTGATTTGGATCGACAGATAGAACACAACTTTCTGTAGTTAAGATCTCTTAGCTTCCTATAATGATTTCCGATGTTGCTCAGCTGTGTTTTGTTGCAGTGCAATTTTATTTGCACCAGTACAAATGCATGGAAGTGCAAATGAAAAGAATGCAAATTCTGGTTTAATTTTGTTTCGGTTTTACTTTATTCTGCTTCAGGTCTTATTTTACTTCATGTGTACTGCAATCAAACTAAATAAGGTAAATTTTGAAATAAAAATAAATAATAATTTGCACCGAAATCATTTGCACTACCATGACCATGATTTTGCAGCAGTGCAAATAATTTCACATTGCAACCAAACACAGCATAGTGCAAATGATTTGCACCACCAGGTATAAAGTTTTCAGTCAAGTTGCAGAATGTGATATATAGGTATGCCCATGAGCGTATCTGCTTAACCCTTGTTTATCATTCAGCCAAAAAATTAAAAAGAAAAGAAAGAGGACAGTACAATGCAAATTGAGTTCATGTTAATTGAAAGGAAATTACACATAGGGATTATGAACCCTATTTTTTAGTTCTATATGCAAATTGAGTTACAAATAAACAGTATTTCAGTCCCATATTTACAAGGAGCATAATTAGATTTCCATATTGCTTAAGCAATGAGCCTCCAAAATGTTGAGGCAGTCACCTGGTTTATGCCTAGGCAATGCTTTAACCGCACTGACTTGCTCGTGGAGTGTAGTGATTCAAAAGGAAAGTCTGCTTCTCTGATGTTTTTCTATGTAAAAAGTGTTTCAATTATTTTACAAAATCCCATTGACTCAGTCCACCACTCATCAACGAAAATGCTTGAAGCCTTGAACCATTGGCCTATTCAGTCGGTTACCAGGTTTTTATATTATTTTTTCTTTAAAGTTTTTATGTTGATGATATCATGGGTTGACCCTTATACCTGGATGCTTGAATTGAAGAACAGTTCAACCTTGGACTGGGTTTTAAAACATTGACTGGATGATTGTGTTCTTAAAGTTCATGTTCTTTTGTACAAGGAAGGCTGACATAAATGTTTTTGTCTAATGTTGCAGACAGAATGAAACCTGAAGATGTAGGGCTTAGCAAGGATCTTCTTTTCTTCCAGCCTGGAAGAGAAGTTAAGGGAACTCCAAGAATCATGTGCACAACCATATACAAGTGCAAAAATTTTTCGGTAAGGCCAGCCAATTCTATTCTTTAGTAGAATTATCTTTCTTCCAAATTTAAATGAGGGACATGGTTGTAGGTTCCAGGCAATTCTAGCTAGTTGATTGGTTACCTAGGTGATAGAATTTTACAAAAACCTCTAGGTTAATTCCTAACTTTGTATGCCAATTTGCTTGCATGTAAATTAAAAAACCATAATGTCTAAAAGACTATATTTTAAATCAATTAATTCAATATTTCAAATGCAACACTATAACAGCATTTAAAAGAGCAATTGCATTTTAACAAATTATTGACAGCAAAAGAAGCTTATAATTTAATACGTCATAGAAATTTTTTTAGGGCGCAATGAAAGGGAAAAAGAAGGGGCAAAGTCCTTTGTTCTAACATAAGAGAGTATAAAAAAGAAAAAAGCATTCTACCCTTCTCTTTAATTCTTTTTCTCTGTTATTAAAAAACATGGATCTTTTATGTTTCAACGGTAAAACTTTTAAACCAAGTATGAATAAAATACATAATATAGGATGTATTAACTATTAACACATAGTAATGTAGCTATAGCAATAATATTACAATAAGGTTCTTTCCTTGTGATTTTCTTTTGCCTGGACGGGTGCCTAATCTCATAGATGGTGTTCAGGCGAAGGTGCCTAGGTAATGAATGCCTTTACAACTATGGTAGGACAGCAGATCAGTTACTGGCAGTTCTGCTATATGGTCCATGTCCATATCTAAATTTTGGGTCAATTTTCCAGACCAAAGTCTGAGAGAGAGATGTTTACAATTCAACTACCAGTTTGATGAAAATTTTTTAGTTTGTGTCTTCACTTTTTCCAAGATCAGTACCAACTCAAAGCCTTATTTCTTTGTTTACCTTTCCTATTTGCAGTTGTGCATCTTCTTTCTTCCCCAGACTGCTGTCATCCCGCTTCATAACCACCCTGGGATGACTGTTTTTAGCAAGCTTCTCTTAGGATCAATGCACATCAAGTCATATGATTGGGCTGATTCTGACAAATTAGAGGAACCTGGACCCTCAACCAGTGGTTAGCTCTCTCTCTCTCATATACCTTATATACACATACGTAAAGGCTTGTTATCTTTAACAATTGTAGCATCAATTTGCAGTTAGACTGGCGAGGTTGAAGGCCAATGCAGTGTTCACAGCGCCATGCAATACATCTGTTTTGTATCCCACATCTGGAGGCAACATCCACGAATTCACAGCTCTAACACCATGTGCAGTTCTTGATGTGCTTGGCCCTCCTTATTCGAAAGAAGATGGCCGAGATTGCAACTACTACAAGGATTTTCCTTACTCCAGCCACTCGGGTAAGCAAAATAATGGTGATTTGTGGTTTAGTTCCATAGTTGCCTAATGTACTTGTGTCAGAGTTGATACTTGAGTTATATATAGTTTAATTGGCATTGAGAAATGACACTTGGATTCATAAACTAGATATAGAAGCATAATGTATGAGAATGGTAAATGGGATCCTCGTATCTGTATCTGCGCCTAGGATCTTAAGAAAATGGAGAGTGGTATACCCCATTTCCAATACTATATCTTCCACTGCCATTTGGTTGAAATAAACCTCATGAATCATGATGAATGTTCCATGAGGTTTTAGATGCTGGGAAACAATGTGGTTTCATTTTACTGAGGTAGAAATAAACCTCTGTTCTCACTCTTGTCAGCCTATAGGAGCAGCTGTACCAGTACCTATAGGGGTTCAAGAATTGAATCAAGGTATATCTAGGAGCAGTACCCACAAGAATCCTCTTCACACCTACCCATAGGACACCACAGCTGCAGGATATTTTGAATTTGCAAGTGGGTAGGATATCTGAATGCCTCTAATTCCTTGTATTACTAGGAAGAAGAAAGGGAAGGGAACTTGGATGCTTGTAAAAATTTTATATACTCTAAGCCATAAGCCTGACTGAAATGTCGGTCAAAATGCTAATGTTATTTTCTTCCCTTTCATATTTCCAGATGGAGATGGAGAAGAAGAGGCCAAGGAGAGAGGAAGTTCTTATGGATGGTTGGAAGAGATCGAGATGCCCGAGGACTTGATGGATGGAGTTGAGTACCTTGGTCCACCCATCAGAGAAACTAATTGTTAGATGTCCATTCTACACTGTTTAACCACACAAAATAGATCCTTTGTTTTTTTTTTTTTGGGTTCTTTCATTTGTTGGGGCATTTCAAACCTTTTCCTTGGCTCTTTGGTGTGTAGTCTCACATTTAATTTACACTCAGTATAGATTTTTTATTTTTCTTTCACGTTTCTTTTTCTTCTTGTTTTAATGTGGTTACATTATTACACGACGTATTTGATGGATTCTCTTTGAGAAATCGGTGCTATTGGATAGTTGTTGCCAAGGTTTAGGTTTAAACTATCGATATGTTTCGGCCAAAACCATAAGACCTTTGCTCTTATAAACTGGAGAACAGTCTGTATTGTTAAGAATGAAGGAGGGCTAGGACTAAGAAAAATGTTCCAAGTCAGGCCTGCCAAAATCATAACCTCTGGGCTCAGTTGTCACGTTGTACAAAAGAAATATCTAAAAAAGGAGGGATTCTTAGAACATAAAACCGCATCTTTGGTCTCTTGGGGCATGGAAGAAAATTAATCAACAAAAAAGTTAACCTAAAATATGGCATAATGTGGGTCCAATTGATAGGCCCACGATGTAGTCAGTGACAGAGAATGGACTCAAGCTTTGCTACAACAAAAAGTCATTCACCAAGTAAAACCAGATAATAATTGTTGGGATCAGACAAAATTAAGAGAAGTATGTCCTCAAGAGATGGAATTGTTTGGGGAGAATTACAACCAAAATATAATACCTGAAATAAAAAATTATTCTGTCTAGAAAAAAAATCAATATTTTCTTGTGGATTCTTCTCTTAAATAGAATTACAACCAAAATAACTCCTGATAAAAAATATTGCATAATAGCAAAACAGGTAAATATGGAGAAAATTGGACCCCAAATTGCTAAAAAATTAGAAAGGCATGAAGGGGGATACTAAATGCTTGGTGGAGAAGTATGATGCAAGAGAAAGTGGAAGAATCTGATGTTGCGCGATCTGGACACTCTTAGCTGGAGGACGCTTGGCTCTTAACTGGCGACGGACGGTATTTGAGAAGAAGAAGGTGAAGGATTCCTGGGGAGTTCACCCGGTGGGAATACTCTGATGCTTAAGTTAGAACACTCGAAAGAGTTGTAAAGGATGCAAAGAGAGCTAAGAGTGCAGATAACGCTAGATCAGTAAATTCAAGGTTAATTCAAGATACAAGATACTTTTGCCCTTTCTACCTAGGGCCTTTAAATGCAGATGTTCTTGTCAAATCGGGCGTAACCGCCACTGGCTCTCTGTTGCAGCCGTTATTTGCCAGGGCTGTGCTGGTAACTATTGCAGAGTACTGCCCAATCGGATGAGAGACACGACCCAGAAAAGACAGACACGCCACCACCTGTTGAGAGACGTGGGTGCAGTATGCTGGGTTGGCAGGGACTGCGCCGTCAATCAGGAGACGTGATGTAGTCTGACGGGTCCGGTGTCGTAAGATAAAAAGCTTCCTGAGAACGCCGTGTCGCTTAACAGTGAGCTGCTTTGTAGCGAGCTATCCCATAGCGAGCTGCCCTGTAGCGAGCTATCCCATAGCGAACTGCCTTGTAGCGAGCTCCTAGATGTGTCTCGAGGTGATTCCGCCTGAAGTTGCCTTTGGGGCAGTCTTCTTGCCTAAGTATTGGAGCGAGCTGGGAGCCAGCTCGCAAGCTGTGATAGACTTGTCTTGGAGTATTCCCTTTCCACATACCGGGGTCCATGAGCTCGCGTTGTAGCGAGTTCATTCCATTGCGAGTTTTAATGTAGCGAGCTGTCCTGCGAGGACCTTAACGAACTCGCTACTCAGTCGTAGTTAGGCTGTCATGCTGAGTTGTTGCTTATGTTGAGTCACGTCCACGTGTCGCCTTCTTAGGAGGTCGGGTCAAATCACCCTCCATCAATTGCCCTCCACTCCTCGGGCTAAGGATTCCACTTTGGCACGAGGAGTTCATGGAGTGTGACGGGTGGATTTGACCTGAAATTCAAACTTGATTGACCAATCGCATTAAATACACACGCGGATGTCAGACGACTTTTGGACTTTTCGAACGCCAAAAAGCGCGCGAAAACGACTCTCACCTCCGGAAGTCGTGTAGCCGACATTACCTTAATCATGGAAGACGTGCAGCCAGTCACATTTCAGTTTCAGAAGACGTGCGGTCAGCTTGACTGCGAACCGTCAGATTCGCCTTAATTTGAGCCGTCGGTTTGTGGGCACAGTTGCTATAAATAGGAGGGCCCCAGGCCTCATTTCCTACACGCCAACTTGCCTTGCCTTCAGATTCTGAGGTCGCGCCTTCACCTAGCTGCTTGAGCTCTTCTCCTGTTCACACCGTCTTTTTGTTTCATCTCTTCCCTGGTGAGTCTTATCACTTTGTCAGTATGTCTGGGTATCCGTACAACGTCTTTCCCCAGGGCGGTAACCAAGATGATGCCCCCTCGAGCTCAGGGGGAGCTTGGGGGCAGGCTCTAGAGGCTCGGGAGGCCTCCGACGAGACGGCTTCCACCTCCCGGGGCAAAGAGCCAGATAGCTTTGGTCCTTCCTCCATGTCGATGGAGAGACTTAGGACCTTGGTTTTTCGATTTAACCTCCCTAGAAACCTCATCTATAGTCTCCCATCCGGTGACTACCCTTGGGAACACGGTCACGATGAGATTGTGATCTTCTAGGAGCAGCTCATCGCTAGCCTCCGTCTTCCTCTGCATCCTCTGATAGTGGAGGTTTTAAACCATTTTAACGTTACTATAGACCAGCTTCACCCCAACTCAATCCGAAATGTAGTTGGGACAATTTCTTTATTTTATGAATACCGTCTTTCTCTTAACCTCGACATCTTCTCCACCATCCTTTCCATCAAGAATGCTTCCCCCAGAGCGCCTCCAGAAAGGCACTCCTATTATTTTTTTCCCCGTCCCGGCTTCAAGCTCCTGCACGAGCTGTCGAACAGGATCCCGGCCTGTAAGTGGAACTATTTTGTAGTTCGCAACCCCGAAGGGTGGCCCTTCCCAACTCACTAGAGGGCCGCCATCCAAGATTCGGGTGTTGACTTGGTTCCCAAAGTTCGAGAAATGCTGCAATTCTGGGCAGCGGTTGGCTTCCATTGGTCGGACTACTTGACCGAAGACAAGCTCGCGCAGGCCGGCCTGAGCCCTAGTAGGTTGCCTTTTAGGTCGCGCAATGCCTTGTAAAATTTTTTTTTTTTTACTGGACTAATGCCTTGTGATTTTTGGCAGCCATCATGTCTGCTGTAGATGTGTGTCACCTTCTGTCCAGCAACCAGAAGCGTAGGGCGAAGAGGTTGCGCCCTGACCGAGCTTCCACTTTCGGGAGCGCTAAGTTCGAGGCTACTGACCCAACCTTCGTTCCTCCACCGCCTGAGGTCCCACCGGTCCCGTTCGAGGGAGTAGCAACGGAAGGTGGCGCAGAAGAGCACGAGGTCCCAGCACAAGGGCAGTTCCCTCCGCCTGAGTAGTCCCACCCCTTCGCTTTCCCGCGGTTTCCTACTAGAGGGTGGGAAAGCGTCACCGACTTCACTGTGGCTTCGCGAAGGAGCCGAAAGGCGGTCTCCCACGAGGAGGTCGCCAGTTGGGGAGGGATGGACCCCAAGTAGCTCGCCAAACTAGCCTCCACTCACTGCATGGTGGTAAGTGGCTACTTTTCCCTTCTTCTTCTTCTTTTTTCTTTTCTCTTTTCTTTTGACCTCGGCCTTTTGTTGGCAGGTGAACTCCGCCATCTACGCCATGGCCCTCCAGACCAACATTCACTCCGGTGACGCTCTCGCTCAAAGGTCAACTGTGCAGAAGCTCTAGGGCGAGCTCTATCGAGCCCGAGGTGAAGTCGTTCAGGCTCGAAAGGGGAGTGAGGCCTAGGAACTGCTCATCCGGGACTAGGAGGCACAGATCGCCCAGCTATCTAAGGAGAGCGCTCGCTACTGGGAGGAGTCGTCGAGGGTGGCAGCGGAGAGGGAGCTTCTACGCCAGCAGGTCTGGGACTTGGAGTTCACGCTTCAGGATCGGACTCAGAACTTCGACACCATGGTGGAGGCTGAGCGAGCTAAGGCGGTGTGGGACTTCAAGGACTCCCAGGAGTACCACGACCTCCAGGTGGAGTACAGCTCGAGCTCCTACCATTCTGGATTTAAACTCTGCCACTGACTGGTCCGGAAGAAGTTCTCCGGGCTCAACCTTGAGGGCATAACAATGAAGGGTTTGGATCCAAGGATGGACTTGGCAAAGGAAGAGGAGCCTAACTCTCCGGAGGACGACGAGATTGTGGAGGCGGTGGATCCTTGAGGCCGGTTGTTGCTCTTCTTTTTCTTTTTTCTGAATGGATTCTGGTGGTTCCCGGGTGTTTGAACCCGGTTTTAAATATTTCTTTCTTGTTTTTTGATGAACTCTCTTGGGCGGTTGGGCCCTGCTTTTTATTTGTTTTTATTGAACTTCTCCCGGGCTGTTAAGCCCGGGTTTTTGTTTATAAAAGTTAGTAATGAAATGTTTTATCTTTTTCTGCTAAGTATTGCGTGCTCTTTACTTTCTGCCAAAGCGACTTTATCACTCGAGCTGTTAGAGCTACATACACGGAGTAGGATTTTTTGGTAGTTGTTACCCCGAGCTGTTCCTCCATACTTGGGGTAGTTTTATGGTATACCCCGAGGTGGTTATCATAGTAAGCCCGAGCTATATGCACCTAGGTTAAGTTGACGTGGGTTGTCCCTTATCGGGCTCAACTAGAATACCGAGGCAGGCTACGCTTCATAGGGCTCATGCCCGAGCTGCCTATGCCTTCGGTATTAATACTTAGCCTTTGCCAACGAAACGGTTAGGTCTTTCATAGTGCCGAGGTCTTAGTTAGCTTGGCGTTTTAGCCCTTAGGCTGAGGGAGTGATTTATAGTCCACTCTTGGAGTTCGCCCATGCCATGGAGGCGACTGGGTCTTATCGTGCCGAGGTCTATGTTAGCTCGGCATTTTGGCCCTTAGGATCTGGGAGCGACTCGTGGTCTACTCAGTAGTTCGCCTATGCCATAGAGGCGACTGGGTCTTATCGCGCCAAGGTCTACGTTAGCTCAGCATTTTGGCCCTTAGGCTCTGGGAGTGACTCTTGGTCTACTCAGTAGTTTATAGGTAATATTGCCTTAAGTTGATAATATTCTATGCCCGAGGTACTTGT